GACTATACCAAGTTTAAACTTCATATCTACAGTGAAAGACATAGATTTTTTTGGATGTCAGTTACTAGGAGTAGATTTATATTGTATGTATTAGGTAAACAGGACCTTCCTCTGATCAGCTGCAGGTCTCTGTGTTAGAATGCCTTAAAGCTCCTAGTAATAAATCTCCTGAAACTTAAATGTTTGGTTTTAGGTTCACCAATTTGCTTTAAGTAATTTGTAGGGAAGGTAGGAAAAGAACGTTTCCGTCCAGACAGCTGTAAACATAAGCTCATGCACATACAACTGCCCAGGATCAGGAATCTAAACTACAAATACAGTGTACAAAACCAATCAGCATGCAAGTGAGAATTACCTAAACTAGTTGAGAGAAAATGCTGAAAATGGGAAGTCTTGGAACCAGGACTTCATTTCATCAATGGCTGTTTTGCCTAATATCTTTTTAATGATACAGGATCATAAACTATAAAATGTAATGTGTAAAACATCTTATGCACAGCCGAAACCCAGAAATTTTGCATGATGGATGTCCAGATTAATAGATTAGAAAGTTATATTCCTTTTCACAGTTATGCTCTCTTTCTCTGGCCCAATGAATCTTTCATCCTTTGCTGCCTAATGACGCATTTGCAGCAATGTGGAGATTGTGTTCTCTGAAATCCCCTAATAATAGTTTGGGCACCAACTTCAAGGTTGATATGTATAGCAAGTGTAAAAGTCAATCATGAGATTACAGAGAGTATAAGATTATGAATTCCCAAAGTAACAGTCCTTGGGCCAGAGGAAATTGTGGATCAAAATACCAATGTAATTTTTTTCCTGCTTTTTTGAAGCAGAATTAATATGTTGCTGCAAAAAGAAAAGAGGACAACAGAGAACTTAATGGAGATTACTAAAAAAGCTGATACTATATTAATTTAAGAATCTTTATTTCATGTTACAATTTGTAAAGAATGACAGTTTTCTGTACTTCCCATTCTCATCATTTACTTTTCAAAGTAAAAGAGGTGATAAGAGTCCTCTCAGGACAATTGGGGGCCTAAGCAAAATGTGGTAAGAAATGGGCTTAGTGGTATCAGGAGACCAGTTTAGAGACCAAGTAGTCCAAGTAGTCAACATGGATTCACTGAGGGGAAATCATGTCTGACTAACCTGATAGCCTTCTATGATGGCATCACTGGTTGGATAGATGAGGGGAGGGTGGTGGATGTTGTCTACCTTGACTTCAGCAGGGCTTTTGACACAGTCTCCCACAGCATCCTCATAGGTAAGCTTAGGAAGTGTGGATTAGATGAATGAACAGTGAGGTCGATGGAAAACTGGCTGAAAGACAAAACTCCAAGAGTTATTAGGGGCATAGAATCTAGTTGGAGGTCTGGAACAATCAGAGTCCCCCAGGGGTCAGTACTGGGTCCAGTCCTCTTCAATATATTCATCAACGGCCTGGATGAAGGGATGGAATGTACCCTCAGCAAGTTGGCTGATGATATAAAACTGGGAGGGGTCGTTGACACGATGGAGGGCTGTCCTGCGATACAGCGAGACCTGGACAGGCTGGAGAGCTGAGCAGAGAGGAATATAATGAAATTCAACAAAGGCAAGTGTAGGGTGCTGCACCTGGGGAGAAATAATCCCATGTACCAGCACAGGTTGGGGGCTGACTTGCTAGAGAGCACCTCTGAGGAGAAAGACGTAGGAGTCCTGGTGGACAATAGGATGACAATGAGCAAGCAATGTGCCCTTGCGGGGCATGTATGGCATCCTGGGGTGCATCAAGAAGAGTGTGTCCCGCAGGTCGAGGGAGGTCATCCTGCCCCTCTACTCTGCCCTGTTAAGGCCCCATCTGAAGTACTATGTCCAGTTCTGGGCTCCCCAGTTCAAGAAGGACAGGCAACTGCTGGAGAGGGTGCAGCAAAGGGCCACAAAGATGATTAAGGACCTGGAGCATCTCTCCTACAAGGAGAAGCTGAGGGACTGGGGTCTTTTCAGTCTAGAGAAGAGAAGGCTGAGAGGAGATCTGATCAATGCCTATAAATACTTAAAGGGAGGATGTCAAGAGGATGGGGCCAGTCTTTTTTCAGTGGTGCCCAGGGATAAGACAAGAGGAAATGGGCACAAACTTGAATATGAATAATTCCACCTAAACAGGAGGAGGAACTTCTTTACTTTGAGGGTGGCAGAGCACTGGAACAGGCTGCCCAGGGAGGTGGTGGAATCTCTTTCTCTGGAGACATTCAAAACCCGCTTGGACAAGTTCCTGTGCAGCCTGCTCTAGGTGGACCTGTTTTGTAGGGGCATTGGACTCAATGATCTCCAGAGATTTGATCTCCAGCCCCATTTGATTATGTGATTCTGTGATCGCCAAAGAGACACGAGGCAAGAATAATGTGTGTTTTATATCTTCCTGATTTTGTGAATCAATTTTTCAGTTAGCTACTAAGCATTATTGTTAGAAGGTAGCTCCATAACTTTAGTCTTTTACTTAAACATCTTATTTTCTGTCTACAATTTGTACATAATCACTCTAAATGTATTTTTTACCTGCCCAATATGATGCTGTAAATAATTATTTTCTCTTTGTTTATAAATTTTTCCTAATTTCACATTTCAGTCAGTAGTCATAGTCTGTCTCATTCTTAATTTCACTGTGCTCAACAATGACCCTTCAACAGTAGATTCTGAATCCTCTTATCCATCCCCTTGCAAGTGATCTAGTATGATTGAACATGAGTGATCAGAGGGAAATGCACAGATACAGTCGTTACTGTTTGTTCCTCACAAATATAAAATCTTTCTCACAGGGAAATTGTGCAATGTGTTGTAGAGTATGAGTCCTTGACCTCTGGACAGTATGAGAGAAAAAAAACCCTTTATGATGGTGTAATTAACAATTATTTTCATTTTTTTTTGGCATTAAGATTTGACATTAATAATTCATCTTCATCAAAATAAATATAATTTCCCAATACTTAGAGTAGGGCAAAAGGAATGGCTTTTAAAGAATAGATAACTGTAATTAATCCATTTCCAATACAACTTAAGCAGGACTTTTCAGTGAAGTATATGTACACAAACAAGAGGAAGTTGAAGGAAAAGTACTGAGAGGAAGAAGAAAACTATGAGCTCCAGACAAATGTTATATGAAGGAGATATTCCAACCCACCATGAAAAGAAGCAGCATGAAAATTTTGGTTCATGGAGGATAGGTAGAATACAACAATAAGAAGAAAATTGGAAAAAAAAAAAAGGAAAATAGAAAGCAGTATAACTTATTAGAAAGAAGAAAACATTCATATGAATGGGACAGAAAAATGAAAATGAGGGTAGTATGAAGCACAGATAAAAAAAAGGTGGAAAAGATGCATAAAAGAGTAGGTAGTAAGAGAACATAAATGTAGTTTCTTTCCAGGACTTACATTTCCATGCAAGGATTCCAAACTGAATCTTAAACCACAAAGTATTAAATAATTTAATTTCTCTGTTTAATAAATAAAACTTCTCCTCTTAGAGCAGCATGATTTTTTATTCTAAGACCCTTAGTGTATGATCTTATTTATGGTCTCCAATACAGTGATTAGGGCTTAAAACTCATCATATTACTTTTGGTAAGTTATATTAGCATGCCAGCCAGATTTGACCATGTAGTTTATTGGCAGATCCAAAATTACATGAATTAACAGGATGTAGAATGTAGCTTAAGACCATTTCAACAGCCTCCTTTTCATTAACTTGAATTATAAACAATTACTGATTGTTTGACTATATATTACTGAAGAGAAATGTTGATACCATGGGAAAACTGATGTCTGTGGCAAAGGTTCGTTGTATCGAAAGTTAAACTCATCTGAACACAAATTTCTTGCTTAAACATTTTTTAACACTTTATATAAAGAAAAATTTTGACACTTCAGCCTTCATCCAAAATAGATAGAGATAAATGTTAAAGAGAAGCATGTTCTCAGCAAAGTTTCGGCATTTAAACTGTCCACCTTGGGAAGTTTGATATTGGTTATTCAAAATTCATGCTTACTGATGCAGTCATGTCTAAAGTACTTGTCTCTCCAAGGAGTTTGAAGTCACTTAATGCAAATTCTAGTATATGCATTCTTCATGCTTCAGGAGTCTCCATTCAAATTTGACTTTGGCAGAAGTTTTAACCTATCTGTCATGCATCCTTCTCATATATTCATCAAAAGTTTTAGTATAGCTCCTCATAAATCCTGCGTGTGTTATGCATACAGTATGATCCATATTTCACGAGGTAGGGGCAGGGGGAATTTAAGAACATGGAATACATAGTTCTTCCAGGTTATACATGAAAACTGGGGAAACAAAAGGATTGAATCTTGGTCAATCTGAACTGTCCACTCATCTGAACTGTCCATTCATACAGCAGAGAGTGCAGCTGGATCTCACTGTAGAATGAAGTCAGAATAAATCTGGAATGTACAGGTGGCCCAAGTAATAGGAATTACTCCTAGATCCTATAACACAGATTTGTTTTATGTCCCAGATCAACATTTTAGATACTAAACCATTCCAACTATGTATGATTCAAGCCAGCTGTTTAACCTGAACAGATATATTTTTTGCCACCAAGTATTTATTTTCTTCTTGATCATCATATTAAACCGCATCTAGACTTACTTGCAGTTCATATCTCTTACTGTAATTAAATCCTGAAACACATAGTTGTGCATGTAGACTTTTTCTTTTTCTTTTTGAGGGGGAGGAGTTATTTCATTACGTTTCCAATAAAAGGAGACCGAAAAAGTTGACAGCCTGAATTGCAGATGATGTTATGTGTCATTCCATTACAGTCTTGATAGTTTGACTTAAGAAAAGGGTAAATGACCTAAATGTTAATATTTATCAGAATCTTAAGATTCTTTCCTTTGAATTTACATAAGAGAAACTGAGTATGGGCAAGTTTAAAACTTGCAATGTAAAACCCTAATTGTTTTGCCATATCCACTTCAAAGAATCACCTCTGCAATATATAAAATCAGGCATATTTATTTTTCCACAATGACATTTTCAGAATTCAAATTCCTTAAAAACATGTTGTGTCGAACAAAGCCAGATTACAGTTAAACATTGTGCTCTATGTCTTCACTTGCATTCTGTACACACATGTCCAAGATACAAGGGAATCATGGTAAAAGCATCACATTCTGTAAACTGCTCTGCAAATATTGCAAAATTTAGGACAGCTTAATTGAATGTATTTACAACCATATTTGTACATTTTCATAATGTATTTATTCTCTTACATTCCAAACCATTGTACATTTATTTTGCTCTGTAGTTCCTTGCCATACTAAATATACTCATACTTCAATGTCCTAAGATGATACTTAAATACTAGCTTTGCTTTCAGTTATAATTCCAAACTTCTAACTGGACTGGTTTGATGCATAAGTCGTGTAATACATCTGCAAACATTTGTACTCTCATATGACAGCACTGGAAAGTTCATATTTATACATACTGCTATCCACAACACTCTTACTTTAACTATGTCCCACTTGCAGGGGAGACTCAGCCTTTGGCTTCCCCTCTCCAGCACACAGATATAATCTGATATAAGATCTTTTGGTATGCAAGGTGAAGGTAAAAACTTTTTAGTTAAAGAATAAATCACCATTGCCATAAATTTGCTGACACTATATGTTGATTTGACCATTCTAGAAAAATTACTGCTCATTTTTGGAGGTGGGTGTTTTGGTTTTGGTTTTTTTTTGTCAGTTAATGAAGCCCTCCATTTTGTGCATAACAGCTGCTTCTGCATGATTCTAGTTACGTCTCTAATTGTAATTTTATGATTAATTATAATTTATGACAATATAAAATAGTGAACATACACTGAAATTAAAAAGGACATAGATCTTATGTGCTTGTTGTTTGAAGTTTTTTTTTTATTATTATTGTTTGGTTTAGGGGTTTTTAATGTTTCTTTTTTAGGAAGGAATAAGGGAAAGACAGCAGTCAAGCAAGTAAAGTTCATTGAAGACCCTTGTTTAATTTTCTTTATACATTTTTTTCATTACTCTAAGTCAGTTCCCTAATGTCAACTGAACATAACCAAAGATGTCTTAGTTTCCTGACATAGAAAATATGCTTTTAAAAGATTATGTGTTGTGTAATCTCATTCCAGCAGAATCTTGCCATTTATTTTTCTACAAGGTCCCACACATAAACATAGAATAAAAAAATAAACATCTTAATTTAAAGAGCAAAGAAAATGGTCTGTGATTTTAAGACGTGCTAAACTTTCACAATTTACAATGAAATGAACAATGTATCCATTGGTTATTAAGAACTGCACAAACAAAGATGGTGAATTCACATAAAAACAACAAAGCAATTTACCTACAATAGCTGCACAATGGACTCATTATTTCAAAAGTTCCCTTTAATCACAAAAAATACATTTCCTAAATTATGTCTATATACATGGAGTTGGTAAAGAATATGTAGTGTGATGTAAACTGTAAATTGTAAACTTTGAGGTCCCTTCCAACCCTAACCATTCTATGATTCTATGATTTATGAGGTAAATGGTAACATGGATAAATCTATAAGAAAGGCAAGTAGATTTACAATTTCAGATGGATCATACTATTTGGTATTTTTCTATGCCTCCTTTTTTGGGTTTTCTACTAATTTATGTGCCTAAATCTGGGTTAGTCTTGTTGGCAAGTTTATAAATCAAAAAGGAAAACTATGCTTCTCAAGCAGGTGATTTATTTGTATGCGTGTATTCGGATGAGATGAACTAGTGGGAGGTGTCTGTTTTTCTCCTGTTTTTCTCTTCCCATATATACCCATTTATTACAGCAATCTAACTAATCTAATGTTTTTAAATAGTCCTATTTTATGTTCTGAAAGCTGATAAAGTTTAACTACATGAAAATGCATTGGAGCTTACTGTATTAAATTGCTCCCATATCCCTGAAATCTAGCTGGATATCTAAAACCTAGGTAACCAGGACGTGCAGCTACCATTTTCTGAATACGTTTTCTCCTTCTAGGTTAATGAAGAGATGTCATTTACTTCTTTTGCATGTCGTTTGGCAGCTCAAAATTATTCACTCTCTGAAGATCACAACAGTGGTTGATTTCAGAGCAGGGAAATTGGTTTTGTCCAGTACCTAGTTGAGTCTTGCAGTTATGTTCTAAATGGAATTCCTGTCATAGTTATTTGAAATAAATGTTTGCATGGCCAGTTCCTTCTAAGCATTTATCAGATTTTAGAGATTCATCTCACTCAACCTTAATATTTATCTTAAGAAATGCAGGTGTCCAGGGTGTGAATGTCTGCATCTGAACTAGCCATTTGAGGCACCTTTTGCAGTCAATGAGGAGAAGCACACTTTCAAAGTGTGATTTATTTAACTTTTAGAATGAGATGAATCATGTCCTAGAAATACTGATTTTGCTATTCTAGTGATTAAAAAAAAAAAAAGCTTAGGATGTATAATTCTGTTGTGGACATTTACAAAGTAGATATCTATATTTGAGACCATTCTATATGAAAGAAATAAAGAACTGCATATTTATTCATTCAGCCTGCTACTGCAAGTCTTCTTTCTCTTTTTCCTTTCATATGGGACAAATGACTATTTTAAGTTCATTGATACCCTGGAAAATACACAGATGTAGATACAAGAAAAACCCCAAACCCTAAACCCCAATATACTCCATTTCCACACTATGGCTTACATGTGAGATTTTCTGCTATGTGACTGAAATATGCCATCCAAATCTTTACAGAATTGCATTAGGAAATGCTTTACCATTAAATAGCAAAACAAAACCAAGAACTCTACACTGGAAAACACCACCTACTGTAGGTGAATTTTTTTTAATAACTCTGCTGAGTAAGGGTGATTTATTCATGACTTGCTTATAGAACAAATTTTTGACTGAAGTGATGCACAGAAGTTATTTTTTGTGATAAAGAGGATCTCATCAAGTTAGCATTTCCCATAGTTAACTATATCACTGCAGTATTAATGAGTGTTAATTGACTGTGCTCTCACACCTATGTTCACTACATGTGTCATTCATTGGACAATCAAGGTTAATATTTTCAAGCTTAAGCGACTCAAGTACAATGTTTTTAAATTCAGTCTTATCACCCAGGTGGGTTACAAGAAGCTGCCTTCAGACATCTAATGGCACTGGGTGTGCATATATTTGTATATATGAGTGATTGTGGATTCTATTTGCCTGCACACGGGCACCTAATATCTGGGATAGAGTTTCTCATTTTAACTTTTGTTGGCACCCCAAAACTTCATCTGTGTCATACCTGCCAGCCCAGTGTGAATGTCTTAGATAATTTTGGGTATCTCACATGGTATTAGACACTTATGTGGGGACAACTAAACTGAATGCTCATTTACTTAATTTAAATAACTCACCTATGGAACAATATTTCTTCCTGGAGGCCTTCAAAGTCATCCCTCTCCACTGACTTTTGTTAGGGTCAGCTTCTACATTACATACAGTTCACAAAGGATACCAGACCGCACACAGCCTACCCGTCTAAGTGATGAAGACTGAATATGATCCTGGTTCACAGACCTAATTCTGAAAAGTACTAGACTTCTGCAAGAGTGGATTTTTTAATTAATTGGTATTTACTTATTCATAAGCATCATGTCATCATCGAAAATCTGGGGTGATAGAAGTCTAAATTCTTTATACCTCAGCTTTGACTGCTTTTCAAACCCTTTGATGGTGATGGATTTGGCAGCTTCATAGATCCGCAAGGGAAGGTTGTGGATAGCCAGTGATTACAGGCTACATTGTTCCCTGCCACTGCATTTCTTACATTTGCTAGCAATTTTCTGTATGGTTTACTTTCCAACAGTTGCAGTCCTGCATGTGGAAATCAAAGTTTTGCTGATTTACGGATTTTGAGCAGTCTCTCTGCCCATAAGTGTACCTAATCGCCAAGTACTATGAAGCAGAACTATAATGAGGGAATTTGCAATGAAATGTAAGGTTATGCCAATTTGAGCAGCTTTACACTGGATTTAGAATAAAGCTGAAGAATAATTATTCTGCTGAATATTTTATACATTCTCATCTAAGTTAGAACAGATATATTGCATGGATAATCTATTTTTAAACAGAAATATTTCTGAAGTTGCTTTTACATACTGAGATTCTCTTCTGAGTTGGCAGCAAGCCTGTATTATCTAGCATATGTACATCTGCTTGATGCAGTAGATGCAAAAATGTCCCAGAACTTCATATTCTCAGAATTTAAAGTATGTAACTAGTTATTGACTTCTAAGATATATTTGAGCCATTGTTTTTCAATATTGAGATTTTAAGTATTACTTTGGGATAAATAACAATTTTTCTTCTTTTATGGTGAATGTAGAGAGTCAAGTCCCTATTTTACAAGAAGGAATATAAGAAATTACTTCTTTCAAACAGTATTTCAATTTAAAAGCCAGTAGACTGCTTGCAAAGTTATTTCCCCAAAATCAAATTGCTTCTGTTGGAAATAAAATGTAGCACTCTTAGGGAATGTGTTCTTGTAAGTAACAAAAATCTGTTTCCATAATATTCTTTTTACAGTTCTGAGATACTGTTATTCTACTGTTTTATTCTTCACACAATATTTTCTAGTTTGATATTTTGATAGAATTATACTGATTACACTGCATGCTGTATTAGGTAGGAAACCTAACTTTGAATCAAACTTCCACCAAGGTTGGAAACACACTCTGTGAGCATTCTGGGATCCTCATTATGCCAGAATGGTTCCCTTATGTGAATATTAGTTTAACAGAGTAACATTATGAGACAGGCTACTCCCTGAAAGCATCTTTACATGTCTTAATAATTTGAGCAGTTTCATGTGATTAAAAGTATACTCTATGTGCAAAAGGATTTTTTAAAATTTACTTTTGCTTTTAAACAATATTAGTATTTTGATTGCAAGAACACGTATGCAAATATGTATCAAACAAATATAATTAAAGCCAAAGTAACAATATTTTTACCTCCAGGTCTTTTTATCACCTTATTTGTGGCTTTGATTTCAATGCACAAATATTCAATAAAATTACAACTCTACTAAATAATGACTATTACATCTCATTTTTCTATGAACTTCTTTACTAATACTGCTCATATTTCTAGCATCCATCACTATCAATAATAAAAACTGTAAATGTAAAAAAGCAACTTAAAGGAAAGTTCTAAAACTGCAGAGTAGTCAACAGTTCCATAAACAATAGAGGATCACAAGATTAGTCTTTCTTCCAAAAAATGGATTTTTTAATACTACTATAATGGTAGAAAAAAATTTTAAATGGGGCCCTCAGAATCATAGGAAAAGATTTACCTATTTTGCTTGATCAGTTTTTCTACTGAGTTCAACCTGAATTATTCCATATTTATAAAGGCTCTAATATCTAGAAAAATATATTCTTGGTGTTTTACTGTTTAGCATTTTGAGAGGAATTAAATCAGAAGACTAATTAATTTGAAAAACTGAAATACAATGTTATGACATTTTCTTGATTTTGTTTACTTAAACAACCAATCAAACTCTTGCAAAATGTAATTCCTTCTACTATTTCTTTAATAATTGTATTAATAAACATTAACAGCACTACCGCAGCTGTAATACTGATAAGTTTATTCCCGCTTCTGGGGAATCTACTTACGTTGTATTTTTAGGTACTGTTTCTATATGTATTTCAAAGATAACTATTGTCTTCTGTGTTTTTTTTCCTATTTTTTTTTTTTTTAGCAGCAAATGTTTTATCCTCACTAGAGAAATAATCAATGAAAGGAAAAAGAGAAAAAACCTCTGCATCATAATTGGCTGTCATTGATCTCTAATGTCCCAAAGGACTTGACAAGAGTTGGGGAGGGAAACTGAAGAAAGAACACAGATATTTTTTTTTTTGTGTCAATGAAAGCTTTTGAATATAAATCCTCAGGCACAATAATGGCCACTTTCTTCCAGTACAATTTTCTCTATCTTCCAATAAAAGTATGTATAGATTTGGTCACTTAAAAATAGCTTTTCTAGCACTCATGTACTTGATCTTCCTCCTATCTCAAAACAAGTAAAAAACAAGAAAAAAATTAATAAAATCTCTAACAAACAATAAAAACAAAAGGACTTTTTGACACATATAACAGAGAAATGCAAGGCTTCTCCCTGAGCACCTTAATTTTAATTATGCCAGAGAACCTTAATATTAATTACTTTTACTTATGTTTGATTAATGCAAAAGATGTTCATATATAAGGAAGGGCAACAGTAGGAAAAAAATGGGTATAACTCACATGTATAAACACAGGTTAATGTGAATTAAAGACTTTCTAGTAAAACTGGTTAACATTCTGGGAAAAAAAAAAAAGTATGCCTCCATGAATAAAAAGAATTGGAAAGACAGAGAAAATGCTAACATTTTAGAACATACTTAAAATATTTTTAGGATAAAATTTTCCAGTAACATTTTGAGAAATTTAATTATTGATTTCACTGAATTTAATATTTGCTGCAGATCTGATTCCACTGTGATTTTCATATTAAATGAAAGGAATTATTTGAGAGGAAAGGTACCATGCTATATTAACAAAGTTGAGATAATCTGACTTTTGAAAAAACAGCTGCTTTTGCTTTGAATTCATATTGTTTAGCACAACTGTCTGTCAGAAGCAATTTTAACTCTTATAAATAAAAAAGAGATCTTAATAGATCTCAGAAACCAAATCCATTCCCTTTGAACTCAAAGGTAAAACTGTTATTGTTTTTAATAAGAACAGAGTAAACACAAAGACAGGAAAAAATATTCAATCAAAAATTCTTCCTAAATTCTGTTTACAAGAACTCCAGAACTTATTGATGTAGGTACATAAAAAGAATCTGAAAGCCAAATTTGGCTCCTATTGTGGTTAGATTTTCCATAATCTAAATAAAACAAATTTATAATATTATTCTTTCAGCATAAAATCACTGTAGTAGCTGGAAAATTTTCACATGAGAATAATATTTCAATTTGGTTAAATAAGGCAAATTGAAAATGTGTAAAGGAAATTGAGAATAAAAAATATGGATGAGTATAAAATGAGGATAAAAATGATCAAGGCACAGAAAAAAAAATCTGTGGTCGATTGCAATTAATAGAAGTAATCCTTTTTGAAGGTCAGTATACAGGTAGCGTAATCACATTTCTATTGTGTATGAATATAATGTAATCAAAAGGAAGTTCTGGGAATAGAATTAAAATTCAATTTCTAAGTTCATTAGGTATCTGTGTAGGAGAACTGAATGCTAATGTCTATATTTAACTGCAATTGTTATTCTAGAACCTTTTTGTTTTGATTTCAGAAGCTTATGTTTATGTGAAGGAAAATCTGTAGAGGGGCAACATCTTTTATTCAACAAGTTGTTATAGTTGGGGAAAAATGGACATACTTCTCTGTGGAAGAAAGACTAATTGCAATTCAAAAGCCAACTGACTGTGGAAAACTAATATTAAAGATTTGCAGCTGATTTCTAATTCGAACAGAGAAGCATATAAAAAGTTTTAAACCAGTATACTTAGACTTCCATACTGAAGTTCAGTTTGTGTCAGGAAACAAAGATCTCCATGGATGTTGATGCTCTTAGAAGAAAAGATACATCTTCAAATCAAATATCCCAAGTGAGAGGCTGCATGTTTTTTTTTCATCTCAAATGGTTTTAAAGGTTTCCACGAGGAAAACTCTTTAAACTGCAAACAGAATTCTTTCCCAAAATTGTTAGTGACAGAGGACTCTGAGGTTTCTGCTTTTGGACCATGAAATAATTCCTAAAGGATCCACAAAGGTTTAAAGAAGAAGTATGCTTGGAAGTTCTGTTCCCAGAGCCTGGGCCTCCCTGAAAATCAGAATTTCATATTCCATTAGTGTCCTTAGGATTCTAACTGATTCAGCTAAGCATCAATGTCAAATCTACTGCCAAGGCAAAAGCTCGAAGAAGCATTACTGCCAGAAATGATCAACTCTAAAGGGAAGCACAGATGACACTAGTATATTTACCATATGAACTTTATTAGATCAAATGGTCTAATTTTCCTTATTCCACTTGCACTTATTCTGAATACCCTACTTGCAGTTATTTGCAGTCGTAAATGGAAAGTCATAAATTGGCAGCGCTAATCAGGCAAGGTTGTGTATGTACGAGCATCAGAAAGAAATAAAATGCAGTATTTTCATCCCTTTTGAAATGTTAGAAGAGACTCTATACACTGTTCTGGTCATGGTTCATCTGGTACATGATACAGTGAAGGAACAGTATCCATTTTCCAGTTTTTCATGAGCTTCCAACATGCAGAAGATGCATTAAATAATGAGATTAGATCCCACATGCTTAAATTGAATATAAGATTAAAAGAGAATTAAGAAATTGTTCTTTTGACTCCCATATTTGAACCAAAGCCCCAGTGCAGCCAAAGGATTGCTTTGTGTATAATTAGATTAAACACACAGGCTTTCCCTGTCTACCTTTTCCTTTCAGTAAGAACTAAACTGCTTGTTTAAATTAGGTCATAACCCATTTGAAGACAAGACCTGAACAGAAAAAATTATATTATTGTCTACTTTTCTCTTTTTTTAAAAAAACACAGTTTAAAAGTGATCAAATGTACTTTGATGTTTCTGCAGTTAAAACTCTTGCAGCCATGAAAACTGTTCTCGTATTCCCTCCTGCTCCTTGTGTAGAGCTGTCCCTTGATTATCCAGTTCTCCAGGACACATTCATGAGAGGAGTACCTGAACTTATTACTCCATGTTCACATATTTATGCCTAAAACAGCCTGATTTTTTTTTCTTGTTCACTGACTGTGAACAGTTTTTATGATTTTATAGGGCATAAATACTTAATCTTTCTCATTTCCAAACTTCTTCAAGTTTGTAATCAACAGAGTATTCACTGTGTAAATCCTTGTTCTGATGAAGTTACCATTCTCGTTGTCTGATAGAAAAATAATCATTTCACAGTCAATAAAGTCCTAAGCACTGCTAACAAAGTCATGGTTGTTTGATGACTACAACACAGGCACCAGCTCTTCCAATATTTAGGGAAGCCATCTGCAGAAAAAAAGATACAAATTAACTGAACAGGAACAGTCCATGCAAGAAATTGTCAAAGTGCTGTGTCAACAATATTCTAAAATGGTCAAACCTAATGGGAGCATAAACCACTAAATATAAATACAACCCACAATATCCTACCATTGCAGCTTTAAACTTACTTACTCATATTTGACACCTTTAAGTTGAAATTGAGAGAACAGAAAAAGAAGTAATTTTAAAGCTGTCATCAATTTTGTGAACTGTTGATATGCAAGGGCTTTCATAAATCTGTAGACTGTAGCCGATGCTTTCACTTTAGTCCCTGAAGCAAGATCAAGGCTGATCTACATTCCTTCTACAACCAAATCACCAGTTCCCAGCTTTTTACATTATACCACAATTTCATAGAATCATAGAATCACAGAATCATATAATCATAGTACAGTTTAAAACTTTACTTTAAAAGGACCTTTAAAACTCATCTAGTCCAACCTCCTGCAATGAACAGGCACATTTTCAACTAGATCAGGTGGCTCAGAGACCCATCCAGCCTGGCCTTGAATATTTCCAGAGATGGGGTATCTACCACCTCTCTGAGCATCCTCTCTTAGTGTTTCACCACCCTTATTGAAAAAATATCTTCCTTATATGTAGTATAAGATATATCTACTATTATATCTCTTAATTCTTATATGGTTCAATATTAGGAACTTATATATAGCTCAACATTTCAAAATGTCCCTCAAACAGAAAAAAATGGAATTGAAGAATGAAGTGAAAATTTGGGTCTCTACATAAAATAAATAGATTTTCATATGAAGGATCTTCAGGACATGCTGGATATCGAATAAAATTCCAGATATGTTTTGATACTTTTTATGACATTTCTTCTGCATGAAGATGAAAAGATTAACTTGTATAGAAATTGATCAGAACAAGAATTTTGTCTGAAAGGTAACAAGTTTTTATTTCTAAGGACTGCCCATACTGTCTTTTTCCAGTTTCTTAAGATCTAATTGTCTCTTTTCTGTTTTCAGGGCAAAATCCTGACACAACAGCTGATAAAATACTAGGACTAATTTTACACTTATGTCAACCTCAGATACTATACTTTTTTCAGAAAAGTAATATTTTTATATGCAACTATCAAAATACATTACAGACGAAAAAAATAAAGATTTTATAATTACCTGTGTCCATTCATTAGTCTGAGGGTCATATGCTTCCATAGTGTTCAGGTATGTTTGACCATCATAGCCACCTACTGCATATAATTTGTCACCAAGGAGACAGACACCAACAGCATCTCGAGGCATACTCAGTGGAGCCACCATTGTCCATGTATCAGTTTTTGGATCATACCTGAGGAAAGAGAAAGGTAACTGAATATCCAGGAAGAAGGTAAGTGTCAATTCATGCTGATCTTCACTTAAAACATAGCCCTTTTTTCCTAGAAAAAAAAATCCTTTAGTAGCCTAACCAAAATATTCTTCCTAACAGCAAAAAGAAAATATGTAGATTTATTGTGTTCTGAATACAAACCTCTAAATTTTGATTAGGAACTTTTGCTCAGCTAACCTTTTTTAATAAACTAATGCATTTGTGGGATAAGGTGTCATAAAAAGAGATTTGAGCAGGATATAACAATATCCAGATTTATGTATATTTTTATGTATATATTTTAAATATTTACTGTAGCATACTATAAATATTCTTTCTAAAATTATATGACATCATGTTTTCATTTATAAAATTATACTATGCAGTCTTCACACCCAGAAAATTTCCCTAAGAATTCAGGAGAAATATTATCTGCATTAGAATCTCCTCCTGATATTTGCTCAAGTAAGAGAGTAGTATCATTTTTAAGGCATCAATTACAATAGAATATTTAAAACTGAGAGCAAAATTTCTTTTGTTTAATGACAGCAATTTTAAAGTTAAACATTTAGCCTAAGCCATAAATATAGATATTCCCCAAAAATGTGAAAATTATTTAACTTCAGAAGCCATTCTATTTTAAGTATTTTAGACATCAGTTAAATAGAAAAAAATCACTTTTTGTAGTGCCTCTTACTTTGTTACTAAGGAGGTCTGGAGTATCTGGTTAAACGCAATACCTCATTTTTAGATGACAAATATTACTAAAATAGAATACTGTATCATGGTGTGATAGAATTAATTTAATCTGTCCTTAAACATCTCTACTATGTAGTATAATCCAGTATAATCAGTAGAGAAAATAAGTTTAAGGATACAAATCCTTTGACTGACTTTAGTCATTTGCTTAGGTGTAAGGTAGATCAAACTTTGGGCATGATAATTTCTTGAAAATAATTACAAAGGAACTTTATAATGGTTAAAAATGGTATTTATCTACAAGTCCTCCAACTATTATATAGTTATGTAAAATAGGCATCAAACCTACATCATCTCCTACACCTTCAAGAGACAGTGTTAACTATAAGTTCATTTTTTGGGGAAAGTCAAGTTCTTTCAATGTATTTTCCTGCAGTCTAAACTGCAGGAAACTAGAAGTTGGTAATCCTACAGAAAGTTGCACATACATATGCTTTCCAAAAGAAAAATTCTGGGCTTTTAATACAAAGGCTGACTATAAAAGCACCTGTAATTATTTCAGGTGAATTCAGGAAAATAATTCATATTTTCAGTAAGCAACTAGTAGGAATACTGTTACAAGCCCCACATTAGATTTGAACAATGGAAATTTTTAAACCTTTTTAATACAGATATTGCAACAACGATATTACAGTGGTTTGCTTTGCCTTTTGGTTCATAAATATGACCTTCAAATTGGACAATAACAGAATTACCTTTAACATTGATTAAATTATTCTTGACAGCTAAATTTTAGGAAAAAATTCTGCTCATCCACTGCCTGCTAATTCTTCTGGCTTTATTGGGACTTCTCAGAACATAAGATGGTAAAATTTTGTGTTCAGTTTTTTATATCTAGAATACCACTATATTGATCATGCTGTTCATTTTGCATTGTTTTTTAAATTCTATTTATTCACATTCTTTCATTTTGCTATCTTTCCTTAAGAAGCTTTGAGTTAAATATCTAGATATGTGATAAATGTCTTTTAAAACTTGAGTGGAAGATAATTTAAAACAATGCTTGAATATGTGGAAGCGAAATACACATGTAACAAGCAAAAAAAATGTATTTTTAATCAATTTTTTCAAAGACTGGCTTTTTCAACAACAGCATCATATGACTCTAGCTGAAAGAGTTTCACAACCAGTGAAATACACAAGCATGCATTTTATCTTCATCTGCCTAAAGGCAAAAAATTTTAATAAGACTTTTTGATACACAACTTCTGAATTACAAGGGCCAAGGTGAAAAACTGCAAAAGCAGGGAAATTAAATGCAGTTGACATTTTTGAACCTATTTGAACTTTTTTTTTTTTTTTAAATAAAAAGGTGAGCAAGGGCTAAACAGAATTCTTATAACTCAATTCTGTCAACAAAATAGAACTGCACAAGAACTTGTTTTTTGTAATTGCCATGAAAATGTCTGAGATTTCTTATATCCTTTCTTCTTCTAAAAACAACTGTACATTTCATCTTTATAATAACTAGGTATGCCCTAGGGTGAGAAGGGTTATGATAAAAGTTCCTGAATCTAGAAAGAGATCAATTTTAAATCAAGGGGAGAAAAAGGGGAAAAAACTATGAGTCACTTCTTTATGCTTTTATTAGCTTTCAAGTTTCAAGTAACATTTTTTTAAAAAGCCCACTTTATAAAATCTGCCAAAATATCTCAAAAATTTTATGATTCTTTAAAAGGAACTAGTTATTTTACCTTTAAAAAGGAATACAACACTATAGTTTTCCAGCTTGTGAAAAGCAGACAAACATAACTATTATTTTGTTTTAGAACACTTGAATTCATACAAACACTTGAATTCTTTATGATTGTATCAACCTTAGAAGAGTTCAAACTGTGAGTCCTAATTACTATTGAACAGGATTTTAGCAGTAGTGTTTAAAAACCCACATACTTGCTTTCACTGGATTTACATAATCTCAAAAATATATTTTAAAACATTATTTTGGCTTTGACAATCTTCCAGGAGAATATTGATGTTTGTATAAAGCACATCCTATCAGGCTGCATCAAAATGACAAAGTAACTGAAGCAGAGACTCATTCCTGAAGAAGACAAGAGACCTATGTAAAAAAGATTCATGCTCTATTACTTATTTTAAAAGACCTCATTGTTACTTACTAACCTTTTGTTTCCTGAGTTACTGAGATGTTTTTATTTTTTGAAGATACTGCATCATTTTTGAATGTAAAAATAGGCTCATTAAATCACATCCCAGTCACAGTATAAACTTATCAATCACAGGGTGGACCATGAGAGTTTTTTCATGTTTTAGTGGAAACTACTGGTGAAATTAAATCCAGTCTTTGCAAGCTAATAGCCTTACAAGTTCTGATTTGTTAGTCCCAACTTTTAGCCTGGAAGCTAACTGCCCATGAAGTACATTATCCACATTTTTTGCTTTCAGTGCAAAAATACCTAGACAAGGAACACTGTATAATGTCATTCAGATACCAGCACATAAAATACCTTAAGGATATGTGGTTTAGTTCGTTGTTATAATCCCCCCCAAGAAAGACAAATGTGATGCATTGTAGTTTGTCTTCAATACCAGAAAGGTTTTCTTCTCAGAGACAAAAAAATGAAAGAAAAGCTCCCTTACAAGTGTCAATAAGCAACAACAGTTGGAAAGATTTCATACCTATTAATTATGTTTCTAGTAGTCTTAATATACATTTACTTAATTCAAAATGCTGCATATTTTTCCTTATAAATAGAAGCCCATGAGGATAGGCCCTGTTAGTACAGGCATCATGGTGAATATCTGATGAACTTCCCATCTGTTGGAGACATAATGGAGCTATGTGAATGAGACTAAAACTGAGCAAAATTATATGGATTTCATAAGGATTAAGTTTTAACTTATAGTTTTTGGATTATATATTGAGTTACCAGTAAATGCCAAGAAAGATTCAGCAGAAACAATAACTGATATTAATTAAAATTTAACTCCTTTAGAAAATAAACAAATAGAGAAATCTCCCCCAGAACCTACTTTTATTTGTACGTTAAGAAAAACAAACTACTCAAACATATCTACTTTAATCTTTGCAACCTTCATATATTTTGAGAGTCTATTTTTCCTTATTCTATTTTAAAGCATACAGAAACAGAAAAAAAGCTAAACCATCATGAAACATTTGAAAAGCATCTTCAAACTGAATATGATAATGATTCCAACTGTACCTTATTGCCCTAGGTATTCTTGAATTTGCAGGATATCCCCTTAGAAAATTCAGGGTGCTTTAAATACAGTGTGTAAGGTTTATAACAACACAGCAGTGGCAGCTTTATTAAAGTAAGCAATGTCATATACTGTAAATATTTATTGCTTAAGCAGCTATATATTTCTTCTTTGCTCAACTTTGCCTTTAGAATTACAAAATACTTCTAAGCACAGTTTGGTGTTATAAAATTAATTCAAGGTTGAATTTTTATATCTGTAAGGTTTAGTTTATGACTCTGCAATGTGCAATATCATGTCTTTAAAAGAAAGATTTCTTAAATGTGATGTGGAAAGACTGGTGCTTTCTGTCCATGGCAATATATAATAGTACTGTGAAAAAAAAAAGACAGAGAAGACATTCAAAGAATTCAAAGGGATCTTCAAAGAGATTGCCTTCTACATACCCCCATGGATTTTTTCAAGTAAATAATAAGATGGCATTTCTTGGGGTAAAAACATCTATTCAATTTTACCATCATTCAGCTAAGAAAATGATGCTACTGGACATTATTTTGTATTTTAAAAAAGCATGTATAATTGGATACCTTTCTACATAGTCCAGCAATCGGGAACAATGGTTAGAAGCAGGAGCGTCATGTCCTCCAACTGCATAAAGAAAGCCATCACACGTAGCCACTCCTACACCTCCTCTTCTCTTACACATAGGAGCACACATATTCCATTTATTTGTGTGAGGATCATAATATTCCATTGAACTCAGACACGAACTTCCGTCACGACCTCCAACTGAATATAACCTAAGAAAGTCCACACAAATAAAAATGTTAATAAAACAAGAGCTCAGAACTGTAGAAGTAAAACCAAGAAGCATCCAGGTTTTACATCTGATATCAGCAAACAGGAAAAGGAAAAAAACTATAATATCTCAAAATCATATGAATTTCATATGGTCAGCAAACACAGATGATTTTAATATTGTTACTCAGTGCTTTGCCCACCTGAATAGAAAGGAAGATATTTTTTTTTCTAGTAATGGGTATTTTCATACTTTGATTATGTCATATACTGCAAAGAACGTCATAAGTGTCATGCAGATTTACCTCTATAGATTTATAAATCATGTAAGCAGGATTGCTGCCTAACTGTGCATCATCTGTAAGGTGCAAGTGAAAGTGCTAACTTATAATTGTTAATCCTGACAGACAAGAAATATGCAATCCATTTATTAGAGTTCCTCTGTGTATTTATTGTGCATCAAAGAAGTAGAACTTAGTCAGACAAATGCTGTCCTGTATTTTAATATTGTACCTTGTATTTAATACTGAATAGATTCACAAACTCCTAACTCTCCCTCCTCAAAATAACAAACAAGGAAGGAAGGAAGGAAGGAAGGAAGGAAGGAAGGAAGGAAGGAAGGAAGGAAGGAAGGAAGGTAGGTACTGCATAAGCTCTGTATGTTAAAGTACAAACCATATGGAAAGTTGTAGTCAGTCTTTGATCTAGTATTCAGCCTATTCCACATACAAAGCTGTCAATGGGAGGCTCATGTCCAGAATAAATTTTACACTTACAAAATAGTAGAGAATAAATATGCAGTGCACTGCAGAAAAGGATATAGCATTATGTTTTAAACATGGATTTTTAAAAAGTACTACTTTGGTTTCAAGGACTTTGGTTAAATTGAAGAAAATTCTTCCCCACACTGACCTTAGCATGTGTACTCAGCAAGTAAGAAAATGATGCTTACAGGCACTTTATGTTGATTTTCTTTATCAGATTATATTATGAGGATTGAATTCTGTAGGGAATTCATGGAAAACTTCTGAAATTGTTTCAGATTTGAAATGGAAAAAAATGTGGTTTAACAAAAAATATGTTGTGTGTGTAACTATCTGCAGGCAAGAATCTTGTTTCCTTCCTCCCTTCATAATGGTTCTCAGGAGAAAACAGTTCTGGTTGCTCTTTCCTACTATTACCATTATGCATTCATTTCTTATATGAATCCTTTTGGAGTCTCTTGCCTTTTCTACAGTGCCTGGAGATTAACTAATAGAAACACAAGCTATTTTAAAGACCAAGCATTGAGCAGTTCAGGATGTAAAAGCTGTCTGTGTGAAGCAATTATTCATTTGGAAGCTTTTACTGTTCTAAGCGCTCCATGAATTCAGAGCTACTTAAATGTGCATTTACCATTATGTTTTGTTGGCATGGATGCTGATGAATAAAGAAGTACTGTACTACCACTAAATATGTCACTGAAGCCATAGAAGATTTTCGTTCTGCCTAACAGTCATGCTTCTGCTCAGACTAAAGTAGCCAGGAGAATCCATACTCCTCTATGAGAGATGTTAAAGCAAATACACTTTTTTTTGCAACAATTTCTGTGGATTCAGCTCTGAGACATTTATCTTTCTATATGATTATCAGATATCTACAGGTGGGATACTATTAAAAACACTATTGTAAGTGTTGATATGTAGGCGTCAAAATTGCTGTTATGCTCAGAGTAGTCAGCTGAGCCTAAAAAACAATTTGGTTCACCAGCCACAACTGTACTTTCTAATTAAATATTTGGACACCTAAATGTGACATTTCTCACACTTTTAAAAAATGCAAAGTACCAACACTTCTGCAGAGTTCAGTGTGAATAATCGCGTATCCCATGAGTCTAAATACCCATTGTTTTATTTATTTCTTATCTATTGCATTCTCTTCCAACTGAAATAAATCTATAAGCTGATATTTACACACTGAAAGTGAAGCACACTTTTTCATTCCTTTATTTCATTTTAGACTGCTAGTAAAATATAGTTAAAGGCATTCCTGATTGCTGGTGAAGAGATAGCAAATGCTGTTCATAAGTAACAGCCAGTGATTGGGACCACCTAGGTTTTTTTAAAAATGCTCTGTGCTATTCAGAATAAAACAAAATTAATTGCCAAAATGAGATTTTGGAATTATTGTTTTAGGGTTTGATTGTGTTTATATCTCAGCAAGGAATAGCTCATAAGACTAACAATATAATTTTCTTTTACAATGTGGCTGAACACCTCAGTCAAGAATTGCTTCCACTTTTCAGCCAGTTTTCCTAATCCACAGTCACAAAGGCCCAAAATGACTGCAGAACAACTCTGCAACCATTGATGAATATTCAGGAAAATGTACAGCTAACTGAAACTTTTGCAATACTTATATCCAAAAATATTTAGTAGCCTTGCTTCCTTTTGAGTTCTCAGAATTCTGTCTTATTAGATGACTTAGTACATAACTTCGATGCAAGTACTTTCCAAATGCATAGATGAAAGATAATCCAGTGAATCTGAATGTAGCAAATTCAAGTTCCTCAAATTTTGCTTTTTTTGGTAAATTTCACATTTTTAATTTACAATATTATCTTAGGAATTTTACCTTACCTTATGTACTACTTCATCTAGATCAAACACGCAGCTCTTTTATTTTCTGTTTCTCCCAGATTACTAGTGTTTGTAGATTTCTTGCTGGTTTCATATGTCTTAATAGCTTTTGAGTACCTACAGTACTGTAAGACTTCTATGTTCAACATTGCATAATTAAAAAGAAAGCTTGAGGAATAAGCATAATCACTGTCATATAATAGTTATACCTTCGTTCATTTCTTAATATTCTGTTAACTGAATTGCACCCCCTTGTGTAACTCATCAAAACATCCCATTCTATTACTTTTATCACTGTTCAGAGGAGAAGATCAACAAGGAAAAGAAAGCATCCAGTACTGAGTACTGTTTTCTCCACTGATCATACTGAAAGTTTTGCCTGTGGAGATTGTATGGATTTCTATTCCCCAATGGTCTATATTTCAGCTTATTAAAACACTGTGCATAGATATGAATTTAGACCAAACTCAGTCTCCTCCGAGCTGGAAATTTATATTTCCCAGGTTTGGTCACCCCTTTTTGTATTAAGATAGATAGAGATTCCAAAACATTTGTGTGTGTGTATATCTATAAAATTGTTAGAAAATGCAGTAGAGGTTTCAAAGTAGGAGACATTAGGAGAAATCATGACCAGCTGGATCAAAAGTGTTTATCTCAGTGCTATCGTTACAAACCTTTGATAACTAAACAGAAAAGCCATTTTTAAATTCAGTTTGACAAGCCAACCTCAAAAGACCAGACTGCCTTTGATGTGAGGTAGTATGGCTTGTGAAAACAGTTGAATCATGCCCTTGCTGCATTTCTTAACGAGGTTTTGCCTTTCAAAATTCTTTCACTGTGAATATCAAAGACCTTATCCAGTCTTTTGCTTAGGCCACTTTGTACCCTTTTCTGCCCTTTCAGCATGCCTTAAAAAGCAATAGAGAATTACTCTAGCCCAAAGGGTACATGCCCAGTAGAAGTGAGGGGAAGGTCATAATTTTCATCGGTGCTGGACTTCTGTATGGCTCAATCAGTTCATACCTGTAGGAGACTGTAGGAGAGGAATAATATCTATCCCTGCTGCCTTGGTTATGCCAATAAACAGTAGCTCACTGCCAGAAGTTGAAAAAAACGACAACTTTCCGAATAGAAAGCATTAACAAAATCTTATTTCTGTGCTTAAATTTGGAATGGTATTTCATGTATTTGGTGCATGTAGTACTGGAGTAAATTAAAAATACATATAATTTGACCAAAAAAAAAAGTGAAAAAAAAAATTCCTAAAGTGAGTGCCTTCAATTAAAGTAATAGTAACTACTGACAGAAAATATTGAGAGAAAAACATGCTTTGCATCGATATTATAATTATGGCAAAGTTCTACTTCCTACAATAGAAAGTACAGTTTCCTAATAGAAAGAACCTGCTTCAAGTAAATTTAATGCAAATCAAAGTTATACGAGCTACATTATCTCTGCAAGACTAGTGACTGAATGCAGATTCTACAAGTTAAAAATGTTCTTTACTGTATCAGGCTATAAGATAGTCAAGGCAGAATAGTCTTTGTAAATTAATTATTTACTACAGCATGACCATGATGCCCTTTATTTGCTCTCTTATTTATTAGAAAAAAAGACAGTGAATCTGTTATTAAACCAGAAATTGTTATTGAATTAACAGAATTACTTTGTGCTAGACTATGCTACTGTGTTTATGGTATTCATCTTCTTTGTAAGTTTAATAATTTTAGGCAATACAACTATTCCACTTTGTTCTGTCTCAGCATCTATTTAATGCACGATTCTGACTGAAATATTTAAAAATATCTACACCTTTTTGTTGTTTCTACATTTAAGGAAGAATATTTTCAACATGCGTCCCTTTTCCCTATAGTGGGAGGCAGAATAATTACCTTTTTGAGAAAAGAGTTGGATCAAAAGCAGCAGCTAATAAACAGCACATTTATAAAAGATCAGCAGTGCCAAAACTGTCTTGAATAAAAAAATATGAAATAACTTCTACAAGATTTAAATTAAGGTATAAATTTATTTATAGGTCAAAATACTTTAAAGTTTCCACAAAAAATTCTAAAAATGATAACTTGTGAGTTAGTCTTTAAAATATGTTTGCTGTTCTTCCCATTGCAAAAGACTTTTGTAAAATTAGTTACATTTATAAAATACCTAATAAGTAACTAATATTATCCTAAGTCAAATTTCGTTTTACTCTCTAGTTGGGTAGATAATATAAGATCTGTTATGGAGACATACATGTGAAAGCATGAAATTTTTGACAAGGAAAAGCACTACTGCTTTTCAGTATGAGGCAAAATATTAATGTCATTCATAAAATATTGATTTTAAAGTATTTGTTTGTAGCCAGTGATAATATTGTGGGCAGAAAG